CCATACACCCTAATTACTAACAACGTATGAAAACAATAAAAAATACAGAAAATAAATCCTAAGCTGTTACATCATTTCAGGGATGGGGATACATATTTACAAATGGGGATTGCAAGAATATAAATCCTAATTATATATGACAACCATATTGAATTATACAATACAAAAAAAAAAGGAAAGGATTTGTTTTTAAAAAAAGGGTTTTTTGGTATTAATAAATTAAAAGAAAAATAATTAGTTAATAAAAAGAAAATATTTTTTATGTCTTTTTTATGTTAATAAAAATTATATTAATGCTAAAAATAATAAAAATAAGAAAGAAAAGAAAAAAATAACGAACCAGGATCAACATGTTGCTGAAAACAAAAATGAGAGGGACCAGAAGTTCTGATGCTAGGCACGCTATAGTTCAGAAAGAAACGTTAGAGGAAACCTGAAGTTCTGGGTTGCTGCGCGTTGAAGTTATGGGTGTTAAAATAGTGAGGAAAGCCTAGAATTTCTATGTGATATGTTACAACAGTGAGAAAGACCTAGAAGTTCTGGGTGTTGTGTTACAACAGTGAGAAAGACCTAGAAGTTTTGTGTGTTATGTTACAACAGTGAGAAAGACCTAGAAGATATGTGTGTTGTGTTACAATGGTGAGAAAAAACCTAGATGTTCTGCGTGCTGGGTTACAACAGTGAAAAAAAACCTAGAAGTTTTGTGTGTTGTGTATACAACAGTGAGAACAAACTTAGAAGTTTTGTGTGTTGTGTTACAACAGTGAGAAAAAACCTAGAAGTTTTGTGTGATGTGTTTACAACAGTGAGAAAAAACCTAGAAGTTATGTGTGTTGTGTTACAATGGTGAGAAAAAACCTAGAAGTTATGTGTGATGTGTTTACAACAATGAGAAAAAACCTATAAGTTCTTGTGTTGTGTTACAACAGTGAGAAAAAACCTAGAAGTTTTGTGTGTTGTGTTACAACAGTGTGAAAAAACAGCCTGGAAGTTCTGTGTTACACTTCACCTCCTTCCTTGCATTAGACAGAGCATCTACAACTCGTTCATTTCTCAACAACAAAATAGAAAAATAAAATCAAGAAAGTTTATAGAAGTTCTATTCCTACTTCTGAGCCTAGTTTTCTTCAAGAAGTTATGATCCATAATTTTTCTACTTGGGCAATGATATATACAGTCTCAACACTATGATATCTACATTTTTAATGATGTTCTGAATGAAAAGTTTAAAGTCAGGATGACTTACCTTGAATCTGAAGCGTGTGTTTGGGACTTGAGCTGCTACCTTCGAATGTTCTAGGGTTAACAAGAAACAGAATAGAAATGTTATGTTCTTTGATTCGAAGGGAATAACAAAGGTATTGTTTTGAGAATTATGGGTTTAAGAGTGTTTGAATGTTTTCTTTTCTCTCTTTTTTGTATTCAATAACTTTATCCTCTCCAAAAGCCAACCCCTTTGATGTCTGGTGGAACAATTTATTTATAGATGAGTTTGTTGTGGTTTTGGGGGGAAACAAATGGGATTTGAACCGTTTTGGTATACTGTTTCATGGCTTTTTAAATACAGCTTTTATGTGCTAATTTTGTCCAAATATGGGGTTTGAGAAAAATCAGACGTGGACTGGATCAACAGCAATTTGGAGTGTTGTGGCAGCTGGATGCCGGACTGTGTCATAGCAGTACAACGGACTGTTCAAGACGAGGTTTTGGGGTTTGGTGATGTTCTGATCGAAGAGTGGAAAGAACAGAGTGAGATTCGAAGGGTGATGTTCTGATCGAAGAGTATAACATAGTCTCCATATGCTGAAGAATTAGATTTGAAGAGACATGTTTTGATCGAAGAACACAGCTTCCATATGTTCCAATCGAAGAGTCATGTTCTGAATCATTTTTGCAAATTCTGATTGTACTTGTGTGAAAACTGGCCCATAAGTTCTAAAATTATCATATTTTCTTAACACTTACAAAATTTTCTAAGTGTTTAGAAATTTGACTTTTTCAAAGTAATTTCTGACTTTTGATTTCTTGATGAACCAATTTCCTGTCCTGATGAAATATGATTGTTGAATTATGATTGTTGAAACTTGATATTGATCCAAAAGTTAAAGTTTGACTTTTCAATGTGCTTTTGACCATTTTTCCCTTGTGAATGACTTTCTTGGAAAATTGTAATCCGAGACTTGAAACTTGACAGAAGCAAACCTGGGGGTCCAGGATGATGCTTTAAGAAATGAGAGGGCATATTTTGGGGTACAACAGCTTCCCCTGTTAAATCTTCTTAAACCTGAAGAGTTAGATTGACGGATTTGCCATTCGTGACTTGAAGGTGGAAGATGATTAAACACTAGAGTGCCCAGAAATTTACACTTTGATGATTTTGAGATTGAGGTGTAAGGAATGGGCTTAAAGATGCCATTTGGAGAAATGATTGAGAGTTGGAAGAGATGGGCTTATAGATGCCATCTGAAGGTGACTGTTGATAGAAAATTAGACTAAGTCTAAGCTTGACTTCAACTGGGAAAAGAATCAGAATAAACCTTTGGTCGATTTAAAACTGAACCTAGCAGAAGTCTTGTATAATCTTTAACTGGAAAGAATCAGGATAAATCTTTGGAGTGATTTATCTGAACCAGGGAAAGCGTATATTGGGAAAGAATCAGGATAAACCGTTGAGAGGTATAAACTGAACCAGCAGAGGTCTTGGATATTCTTTAACTGGAGAGAATGAGAATAAATTTTGGAGTGATTTATCTGAACCAGAGAAGAATTCTACGGGAAAGAATCAGGATAAACCATTGAGAGATTTAAACTGAACCAGCAGAGGTCTTGAATGTTCTTTAACTGGAAAGAATCGGGATAAATCTTTTGGAGCGATTTATCTGAACCAGAGAAAGTGTCTACTGGGAAGGAATCAGGATAAACCGTTGAGAGAGTTAAACTGAACCAGTAGAGGTCTTGGATGTTCTTTAATTGGAAAGAATCAGAATAAATCTTAGGAGCGATTTATCTGAACCAAAGAAAGTGTCTATTGGGAAAAGAATCAGGATAAACTGTTGAGAGATTTAAATTGAACCAGCAGAGGTCTTGAAAAGAATCAGAATAAATCTTGGAGAAACTTATCTGAACCAGAGAAAGTGTCTACTGGGGAAAGGATCAGGATAAACCATTGAAAGATTTAAACTGAACCATCAGAGGTCTGGAAAAAAATCAAAATAAATATTTGGAGTGATTTATCTGAACTAGCGAAAGAGTCTACCAGAAAGGAATCAGGATAAACCAATGATCAATTTAAACTGAACTAGCAGAAGTAGGAAAGAAGTGTTTGTCATGTAGATAGTCATCTTGTCCTGTTTCGAGAATTGATCTACCATTGATTTGTTCACAGATAATTGCCTTGTCTTGTTGAAAATTTGATGATAATTTTCTATTGATTGATCTTTCCTAAAAAGGTAAAGAGTCAGTTGTATGTAATGCCATGATGTATGAAATATATGGTGTAATGATGTTTCTAAATATAAATGAGATTGTGATATATGCATTTGTGTTGTTGATGTCTATGATGTATGAATGCAATGTATGCACATATTAGTTGTTCTACTGCAGTGTTGTCGGTCTGGGGAAAATAAATCCCTGACTGCTGCTGGGAATGAGGAGTGTAAGCTTTCATGGATTGATAGATAGTTTTCTGTCATTGGAGAAGTAAACTCTTTTGGGGAAGTGAAATTCCATGCATTACTTGTGCACTTTATGAAACCCTGCTGGGGAATCCCTGAGCACCGGGGGACTTTCACTGGGGAACTTTTAGAGCAGCAACTGCAGAGATTTTATGGAAGGGCCCAGAGATATTATCTATTTCTTAAAGCCATTAGTAATTGTCTTTCTGTCCAGTTTTCCTTTTTATGCGTTCATTTATAAACAGTAATTACATTCAAATGCATATGTTCAAAAATAAACATTGGACACTTTTTGCAAACAAAACAGGAACAGTAAAAGAAAAACAGACAGTTTTGCACTTTTAAAGGAATAACTTTGTATTAACTTGAATAAGTATTTTTGTACAAAGATACGAACATCCTAGTAAGAGAATGTCATCTTAAAAATGAAAATTGATACAAAGAAAATACAGTTATGTAAAATATTCCCATGGGGTTCCCATTCTACTATAGCCTTCATGTCTCTGAGCGTCTCATCCACTTGCTACTTTGTCCAAAACTGATTGGATTGATTAGAACCGTCCGAGTTTGACGATTGATACTGAAGATTGGCTGTAAGGTGATCCAACGGCACATAGTTATACGCTTTAAATCCATAACTTTTGCTTGGACCTCCCTTTCGGGTTTTCAGTCCACCAGGGTACCCTTTTTTTCCCAAGTCGACTTTCCAGGTTTTCAGCTTGCCGGGTGCACAGATTTTTTTGTTGTGTTTTATCCCTAATTTTTGCCTAGGTCAGTCGATCTAGCGGGTCATTTTTACAGGGTGCAGAAGGTCTTCGCTGTCCATAGTGGTTAAGATCATTGCCCCACCTGAAAATATGTTTTTAGTCATAAATGGTCCTTCGTATGTAAGAGTCCATTTTCCCCTGGGATCACCCTGTGGAAGTATGATACGCTTGATTACCAAGTCACCAACGTGATATACCTGACGTCTGACCTTCTTGTTAAAAGCCTTAATCATACGCTTTTGGTACATCTGGCCATGACAAACAGCCGTAAGTCTCTTCTCATCAATTAAGTTCAACTAGTCAAATCGAGTTTGAATCCAATCATCTTCATTCAAACTCACATCCTTTATGATTTTTAGAGAAGGTATTTGGACTTCAATTGGTAGGACAACTTTCATGCCGTATACCAAGGAGAAAGGATTTGCCCTTATTGATGTGCGCGCCGTTGTACGGTAACAGTGGAGAGCAAATGGTAACATCTTATGCCAGTCCTTGTAGGTCACTGTCATCTTTTGTATGATCTTCTTGATGTTTTTATTAGTGGCTTCCACAGTGCCACTCATCTTCGGAGGTAAGGAGAAGAGTTATGGTGTTGGATCTTGAATTGCGCGCATAGTGTAGTGATCATAGTATTATTGAGATTGGTACCATTATCTGTCATGATTCTTTCTGGAATACCGTATCGACAAGTAAGATTCTGTTTGATGAATCGGGACACAACGTTCTTGGTGATAGAAGTGAATGAAGCTGCCTCGACCCACTTCATGAAGTAATCAATGGCAACCAAGATGAAGCGGTGTCCATTAGAAGCTGTAGGTTTGATTTCTCCAATCATGTCAATGCCCCACATTGCAAATTACCAAGGAGAAGTCAGGATGTTTAGAGGAACCAGAGGCACATATACTTTGTCCACATATACCTGACACTTGTGACAGGTTTGTGAATGCTGATGACAATCTGCTTCCATGGTGGACCAATAGTATCCTTCCCGTAGGATCTTTTTAGCCATCGTGTGCCCACTAGAATGGGTGCCAAAGGTGCCTTCGTGTAGATCAACCATGATCTTGTCTTCTTCACTCTTGTCTATGCACCAAAGAAAAGTAGAGTCGTGGTTGCGCTTATAGAGAACTCTGTTACTGAGGAAGAACTTAAAAGATAATCTTCTCAAGAATTTCTTGTCGTTGACTGAAGCTCCCTCCGGATATTCTTGGGCCTCGAGATATCTCTTAATTTCATGGAACCAAGGCTTGTCCACTACTTCTTTAGTATTAATCTCGTGACAATAAGCTGGTTCATCCATCCGCTCAATGGTGATCTGAGGACCCTCATTATCCCACCTGATTTTGAACATGGATGACATAGTGGCGAGCGAGTCTGCTAGTTGATTTTCCTCTCGTGGAAAATGCTCAAAGGTAATTTCCTCAAGATGTGGGATTAATGTTAACACATGTTCTTTTTGTAGGGGATGAGATTAGGATTCTTCGTGTCCCATTCTCCTTTGATTTGACTAATGACTAAGGCTGAATCTCCCAATAAACTTAAGGACTTGATTCCCAAATCTATGGCAGCTTTGAGACCCATAATACACGCTTCATATTCTGCCATATTATTGGTACAGTTGAAACAAAATCTAGCAGTGAAGGGAGTATGGAATCCTTCGGGGGATATGATCACAGCACCTATGTTGTTGCCGAGTGCGTTGGAAGCTCTGTCAAAAACCATGGTCCATCGGGATCCTTGTTCTGGTCCATCATATGGTCTGAGTTCTTCACAATTATTTACCACCATCATGTCTTCGTTCGGGAATTCAAAATTCATGGATTGATAGTCATCCACAGCCTGATGAGCAAGGTGATCAGCTATCACACTTCCTTTTATTGCTTTCTGGGTAGTGTATTGAATGTCGTATCAGTTAGGACCATCTACCATCTTTCTATTCTTCCAGAGAGGGAAGGTTTCTCGAATATGTACTTAATTGGATCCATCTTGGATAACAATAAGGTAGTGTGAGTCAGCATATACTATCTTAGTCGGTGAGCAGCCCATGCCAAAGCGCAGTAAGTTTTCTCGAGCAGTGAATATATGGTTTCACAGTCGGTAAAATTTTTGCTTAGGTAGTATATCGCGTGCTCTTTTCGGCCAAACTCGTCATGCTGCCCCAACACACACCCCATTGAATTTTCCAAGACAGTTAGATACATGATCAAAGGTATTCCCTCAACTGGAGGCATCAAAATAGGAGGCTCTTTAAGGTACTCTTTGATCCTATCGAAGGAAGCCTCGCAGTCTTCGTTACATTCCACCACTTGATCTTTCTTCATTAATTTGAAGATTGGTTCACAAGTAGCGGTTAGATGGGAAATGAACCTGGCGATGTAGTTTAGTCGCCCTAAGAATCCCCTGACTTCCTTCTCAGTACGAGGAACAGGCATTTCTTGTATTGCTTTCACCTTTGCAGGGTCCGCTTCGATACCTTTTTTTGTTGACAGCGAAGCCTAAGAGTTTGTCGGACCTCACTCCAAAAGTGCATTTATTCGGATTCAGCCTTAGTTTGTATTTCTTCAATCTTTCTAACAGTTTCTGTGGATGATCAAGGTGTTCCTCTCCAGTTTGAGATATGGCTATCATGTCATCCACGTAGACCTCTATCTCATGGTGAATCATGTCATGGAACAAAGCTACCATGGCACGCTGATAGGTTGCCCCAGCATTATTCAACCCAAATGGCATAACCTTGTAACAGAACATGCCCCACTGTGTGATGAAAGTCGTTTTCTCCATGTCCTCAGGTGCCATTTTGATCTGGTTGTATCCAGAGAAACCATCCATGAAGGAAAATACTTTATGTTATGCGGTGTTATCAACCAGAATATCTATGTGGGGAAGCGGGAAGTCATCCTTGGGGCTTGCCCTATTCAAGTCTGTGTAATCAACACACATACATACCTTACCGTCTTTTTTATGCACTGGAACAACGTTGGCGACCCATTGTGGATAGGAGGTGACAGCTAAGAATCTGGTGTTGAACTGCTTCATGACTTCAATCTTGATTTTCTCTGACATTTTTCGCCGCATGCGACGAACCTTCTATTTTACCAGAGGGAAGTCTTCTTTTGTTGGCAGACGATGGACCACGATATCAGTGGCGAGTCCTGACATGTCATCATATGACCAGGAAAAGACCTCAACATAGTCTTGTAGTAACCGAGTTAAGCGTTCCTTGATACTAAGTTCCAGGTTTGCACTTACCTTGACTTCTTTCTTGTCCTCTTCAGTAACTAAGTTAATTGTTTCAACTGGCTCTTCGTGGGGCTGTATGGTCATTTCTTCCTGTTGCAATAACCTGGCTAGCTCCCCTGGTACCTCACAATCTTCCTCACCTTCGTCTTCGGCTCGGTAGATCGTATTTTCAAAGTCATAATAGACTATAGCAGAATTGTTACCCATGGGGATCCTGGGTGGATGTGGATCTGCATTTCGATATGTAAGTGTGTGTAAGAGCATAGCTATATTTGATAAAATAAAAAAGGTTGAAAAAGAAGAAAAAAGAGCGTAAAATTTTGCATGCAAAAACGTCCATGATTTAAAGATGACATATGAAGATGAAGTAACAACCCTCACAAATGAACCATTGTGCCTCGGGTAAGACACAAGGTTTTAAAGTCTAAATTGTTTAATTATTACAAGTCTGACAAGAAAATTAAAAGACAATTACTCTTGAATAAAAGTAATAGGAACAAATTCTTTGGCATCCCAATTGTTGAGTCCTCCACTGATGGTTGGAAAAATCCACTCGTCCATGTCACATCTGCCATCACTGTCTTCCACTACATTGACTCCCTGATTGTTGATACGTAAAGGTGGTCCCCTGGTGCGAGTTCGTCGAACAACTCTTTGGGCCTCCGAAGTAAAACCCAAACCAAATTTGTTGGACTTGTAGGGAATATCCAGAAGTTGATCCCAGATGGTGCATCCACCCTCCTCAACTACTGCTCTAGCATCCTTCAGAGAGGCCATTTTCAAGGGAGGTCTGGTAACCTTTGGAGTCTTGGTAGTAGTCTTGGCTTCCGCAACTGTTTGTGGGACCTCATCAAAGTTCTGACATGGGGTCTCAATGAACTCACCATCCATTTCCATGTACCTGAAAGAGTTCAGGTGGCTAACCATGTATTCCTCCTCCCCATGGACAATGATGATCTTTCCCTTGATTGGGTATTTCAACATATGATGTAAGGTAGAAGTGACGGCACCAACCCCATGGATCTAGGGTCGGCCCAATAAATAAGAATAGGAAGGGCGGATATCCATCACATAGAAAGTTGAATCAAAAGTCTGAGTTCCAACTTTTATAGGGATGTCAACTTCTCTACGCACTGTCCTTTTAGAACCATCAAAGGCCCTCACCACAATGTTTCTAGGCTTTAAAGTGAGTCCCTCTCAATCTAGCCGGTCAAGAGCATTTTTTGGAAAGACACTCAGTAATGAGCCCGTATCCACCAGGACATGAGCTAATGTAATGCCCCTGCACTCAATGGAAACATGCAAGGCATCATTGTGTTCCCTTCCTTTGGGAGTTAAATTAGTGTTAGAAAAACCCAATCCATTATCAATAGTTAGACTGGCCACACAATTCTCAAATTGATCAATGGAAGTCTCTTGGGGCACGTGGGCGGTCTTTAGAAACTTTACTAAGGCCTTGGCATGGGCCTCAGAACACAAAAGTAAAGCCAACATTGATAATTTTGAGGGGATCTTCCCCAACTGTTCCACGATGTTGTAGTCAGTTTTCTTTATTATCTATAGTATCTCTTCCATCTCTTTGCTAGAAGCTTTAAGAATGACCTCTGGATGTTCCTTCTTCTAGACAGGCTCAAATAATACTTCCTTTCCCCTTGTTTTGGCAGCAGGGATAACAGTAGGATTGTCAACGGGAGTATCACTGGGAATGTTGGTAGGAGTGGTAGCAGGAATAATTATAGGAGTAGTAATGGTCTTTGGAGAGATCTCAGGTGAGAATACTCTTCCACTTCTTGTTATCTTACTGGTTCCAACGATATTGATGACGTCTGTATCAGTTTCTTTCGCAACTTTGTCTTTGATAACCAATAGATCTTTCCTGATGCCATGATAAAACACGTCAGCCCCATAATTCCAGGGAACGGCTTTATCCGAAGAATATGGTATTAGCCCCGACATGGTGATGATTAGGGGAGCATATTTTGGGACAAATATAATCCTGACGGGTCTTTTGGTGAGACCTTGGGAGGATTATCGGAAATGGTGATTATTGAGACATCTTCACAGGAATTTCTGGCAAGAGGAACTTTTTCAAACAGGATTTCTTTGTTAGCCATCAGGCGCTGGACGCCCATCTTTAATAACAAATAGCCATTTGGTAGACACATACATAAGCAACAACTTTCATCACATCCTAGAAATAGACCGACTTACAAGAGATTTTGTTTAATAGTCAAAAGAGGAGTAGTTAAATCATTCACGGAGGAAACAAAACAATCATCATCAACAGCGTTGACACCTTGACCGTGTTTGGGAATTGGCGTCGTTATCACATTAAGTGTTTCTGAGGGGGTCAAACTCAATATCTTTCGCCTCGATAAGGTCTTGTACCTTATTCTTCAAGGCCCAACAATCGTTTGTATCATGCTCCGAGCTTTCAGAATGATAGGCACATTGAGCATTCAAGTTTTAGCAAGGAGAAGCAATATTGGGGTTCTTGGGGGCTTCCTTTAAAGTCACTAGATTGGACTTCAAAATATGTGACCAAACTTGGGACAAGGTGATGTTGATCCGGGTGAATCGTCTCATGGGTGCCTCTGGCTTGCGTTGATA